CCCCCCCCCCCCCCCCAAATACTAATTTCAGTTAAAACTCTGACAAAACTACAAATCTTTCTTCTGTCCACCCACCCACCTCAAGTTAAAAGTTTACATTTCTCACTTTTTTTCTCAAGTTTTCTCTTTTTTCTTATATTTTTCACCTTAAAAAGAACACCAGAGAAGTACAGTTATGATCATCTGAGACCTCTTAAATTACTAAATGGAAATAATGGGAACAGCAAACAACCCAACACACCTGGATTAAGTGGCAGAAAAGGTCAAGATTTTGCTTCTCACATTTCAAGTGCTTTTCCTAACCACTGCTTTCTGTATTCTCAAAGTAGCAAAACCAGCAGCAAATCAATTCTGCAAACACAGTCCACAGCCCACTCATGACTCTGGCCTTTAAAATTTGGCTGTTTCATTTTTTAAAACATCAAAGCAAACATCTTAAGTCTTTCAAAAGTTTGCTTAGACTTGTTATTAGGTCAGAACTAGTAAGAAATTAAATAGTCCACAAAAATAAGAGAGGGACAAATGAGTAAGTAAAACAGTTCCTTTCAACTTCTGCAACTGAATAAACCCCCGATTTCCTAATTAATTCAATATGTATGAGCATTCCCACAGCACTGCACTATCATGGGAAATAACACTTCTCTACAAGAAGTAAACTCTTTGTTTCTGTTAAGCAAGATATCATATGGCCTAGTTCCATGCCTGGTAGGGAAACACTTGCCCTCCCACGCCCCCACTCCTTCCCCACCCCTGTGCAGATGACACAGGATGCACCGAGTAAGTCTGGAAGAGAGGCAAATCTAGCAACTGGGAAAACATGTGTGTTCTGCAGAATTGTAATTGGAAGAAGTAAACACAGATGTGTTTTCACTACAACGAGAAGACCAGTCTGTCCTTCTGCTACCTCTATCCTTCCCGGTAAAGTGCAAGGGAATGGGAAGTTGGCTTGAACATTCCCCCTCTGCTTGAAGGTTTCTCCATTTCCAAGTGGTGCAAAAAGCACTCTACTGCCTGAAATGATCCTTCCCAACATTAGAGAAATTTTCAAGGGTCCCCCCTGCTGAGAATCCTCAGAGAGCAGAAAAGGCCACAGACAGGCAGCATAACTCAGAGAAGCAATGGCTGCCCCTTGATAAGGGCTACTCTATGGTATCAGCTGTATTCTGTTGCCCTGAGATAGCTCTGCACCTCCTCCAGATCTGTCCTTACATACCCTGGAGGACATACCATAACAGAAATAAATCTTTATTGATGTGGTATGCCAAGGAAATGCAACTGTGGGAACTCCACACACATATACTTGAGTTCACACCAATGCCTTTCGTAGACAGACAGTGCTCTTCTGTTTTGCCTTTCTAAGGCAGGCTCCAGCATGAAAAGCAGATCTGTGACTATGCAGATTTGCTGGCCCAAACATGATCTTCAGTTAAGGAGCTGTGGGAAGCTGGGTGTCACAGAGTAGCTCCTCTGAGAGCTGACAGAAATGAGAATTCATGGCAAGTTACCACTTCTTAATGCAGGCAGAAAAAAGGATTAAGACTTAACAAACCCTTGCAATAAAAATGAAAAGTCTCATGACATTTTGTGCACTTCCTGTGAAAGCTCCATGTACTTCCAGAAGCTGCTTCCATGAAAACACAAAAGTAAATTTAAAAAGGGTAAAACATATCCTGTTTTTAGGCTGTGTCAAACAAGAAAAAAAGCTTGTAATAGGGATTGCAGACTGAAAGACATGAATACCAGAAGAAAAATTAAGTAGTTGTTTATGGCTTTTAAAACTTCAACAGTTGTCCTCATTACACTGCAAGACCTGACCCATGGCAAAAACCAATCAACACATGACATTGCCATCAATATTTTAATGTAGACTCACTGCTGCTTGGCTGGGCTGCTGCTTTTTGTTCCTTTTGGGCCTTAATTTTGTAAAGTGTTCCAGTTTTCTTCCTTCTTCTGATGGCAGCTCTGAAATGAATCCAGAAGTTCGTTTGTCTGGCCTGCTGGAAGGAAATGGTGGGTCTTCTATATGGATAGGTACTTCTTCCAGTGCTTTATCTAGATCAAATTCCATTTCTAAGAGAAATCAAAACTTTCTAATTAGACTTAACATGCCATTTAAAACAAAAGACAATGACATTCTTCTCTTTTGTGGTAAATAATTATAAACACATTTAGAGAACTCAGCCACAACATGTTTGCTCACAGACAGAGCAGTGTGAGCAAATATTTACTACCCAACACACTAGCAGAGTCACAAAGCAAGGAAACCAGCGTGGGCCTCGCAGAATCCAGAGGGAGGGAGAGTCACCTGTGCTTTTCAATCAAGAACCACCTAGAAGAATCGCAGCCAAGCAAAGAAGTTTTAAGAAATTCTCACTTACCAAAAGCTCTGGACACCGGTCGGAGCATTCTACTGTGGATGCTTTTCCTTTTTGATTTAGGAGTCATCTATCAACATAAAAAAAAAAAACAGAAATGACTTTAGTGGACAGAAGACATTACAAAGAACACCTTTGCCTTTCTACCCAGCAATTCAGTTCTTCAAGCTTACGTATCATTTCAAGATCTGATTGGGTTTAACACCAGGAGGGAATGGGGTTTTTCCTCCTTTTCTCAAACATTCAGAACTTTTTCTAAATTGAGATTTTGTTCAACTGACTTTGAAAGGAAGTAGTTTATTCTTCCCATTAAAATCATAGCCTGTACACAGGCCGATTCTGTGAATTGTCCAAGCATTAACTCATTGATCCTCAACTGTAAAATGAGGGCACTATGAAAACCGCACCTCTGCATTTGAGGTCATGAGGCATAGAAAACTTAATTACTGTGTCCATTACTGCACAGTTAATGACAGTTCCAGGGATAGTCTCCCCCTAGTTCTGGCTTTTATTTCTGATACAAAATTCACTTTCTTAGTTCACTTGTTAGTGACATGCTACTGGAAATGGTTAAAATTCAGGTATCCAAGCCTCTGGACACCACCACACAGTTCACCAAACTTCCCTAGGAAAATGTAGTCATGGACCACAGAGCCCTTCTTCAAAAAGCAAAAATATTGTGTCAGAGTTAGTAATATCTCCAGCAAACGCATTACTTCCCTGGACTTTAGATATGCTAAGAGTAAGTGGAAAGTTACCTTGGCATACATTCAACATAGTTACTGAAAGCTATGCGCTATTATTCATCTCATCTTCACATTCCCAGAAAAAAAGGAGTGTGTTGTCTTAAGAGTACAAATACCCAGACTTAAGATGCAAGTTTGTTATTTTAGGAAGAAAATCACCCTTATTTTCTTGCCTGAACTCTTCTGAAAGTTTGCACAGCAAGGAAGACTGCATTGCTACAGGAAATGCATGTGTCGCCAATTCCAATCTCTTCACATAGCTCAGCATCATTAAGACTTTTAAACAAAAATTTGCTCTGCAGGTTTTCTAAAGAGTTAATTTAAAATAACTCAGCTTCTGCAAAGATGGGCTCCTTTTGTGGTAGAGTCGTACTTGGCTTTAGTGACATCCACATACTTCCATTTACCTGCTAGTTTTGAAGCCTAGAGGCTTCAAATCTGGAATGTCAGTCAGGAAGCTGTTATGACTCATAACTCATTAACAGAATTGTTAAGCAAGTTTAGTAGTATCAATTTTATATCAGCCAGAAAAGACATAGTTGGCATTAACATTTCAGACAAACTATGAATTGTTTAAGGTGAATGTTTGCTAGTTTTTATGTATGGAAAGTTCAGTGCACAGACTCACATGTACTGAATTCATATTCCCATCCAAAGTAAGTCTGGAGGATTATTATGCCACTATTCACATGCTCAGGGTTATGACAGATTTTCCTACCAGGAAAGTTATTGTCCATCTTCTCAAGATCAGAAAAGGATTTGCAGACTACGGAGTGGGAAGTGATAGCATGGTCTGAACAACAGAGCTCTGCTTTTATTGCTATGCACATCACTGGGAAAAAAAAGATACCTTCAGCTGTTGCAGGTTTCCACTTCCACATTTGACAAGCATCAGTAAATCATACCATAGTTTCGAGACCAGCCAGGAAATACCTTGCGACCTGAGCAGACTTACCCTGCAACTAATGAGCAGGTGAAGAGTTACTGCATCAAAAGGTCAGACATTACTTTCAGAGTTACCAATGACTTAAATGCAATGGATTCGATGGCAAGTGGCTGGAGAGGTGCTGAACTTTTTCAGCCAAAATTGCAGTGGATTGTGCAATGGGTAGGAGCTGGGCAGCCTCTGAACTGCACACCTTGACAGCTGCCAATCTGCCACCCAAACCCGGGTAACCAAAGGCATCCACATCTCATGTAAGGAAGAGTTGAAGCTGCTCAGCATTTTGGGGACAGCAATTAGGAGTCACCAGTGGTAGTCTCCTGGTTTTATTTCCAGATGTGGCCCATTTATCTTGCTAATGTGTATTTGCATGTATTTTGGTCTGCTTGCCACTTTTTTTGGTGGTGTAACTGGAAATTACATCTAGTAGGATAATGCAGCAACTCATGTGCTAAATAAGATCAGAAGGGAGGACAGAAAAGATGACTGATGGAGACCTCTGATCACTCAGTAACTTCACAGCCATGCCCAGTGTTCGGAGTGCTCCTGGGTGAACACAGACAAGCTGAGAGCTGCATCAGCCCAGGGCACCAATGCCACACAACACGAGGCAAGTTTTGAGGTTCCTGTGCATAGGCTTAAAGCTCCAAAACATCCCTGACAGCCAGGAACAGGATGATTTCATCTTCCTTCCCAGACAAGAAAACACCCCCAGATGACCCTGCAGAGCTTGTGCTGATGACCATAAGCCAGTCTCTGTATCACTGCTATAACTGACTATCAGCTTGGCATGATCCAGCAGCTGCTTGGTTGCTGGGGATAAAGGCAGAGGAATAGGGATGCCTCCCATTTGCTGTAGCAGCATGAGTAACAGCTATACATACATTTTTATTTGAAAACCTTCTGTTTTCCAGCCTGTTTAGGAAGTACACAGATGAAAGGCTTCTTGCCAAGTGAACTTTCTAGATCACACGCAGAGCAAAATGGGTCAAAGCATTAATTTAAATAGGCCAGTGCGCTCTTTTTACAAAATATTAGACTTAATCTCAGCTTAGCATCTCGGCCACTGTGCAGTACGCTACAGCAGCAGAGCACACATCATT